TTGGGAACTAGGAGACACCAAAAAATACCACCTAGTGAAGTGGGAGGTGGTTTCTAGAAGTAGAGATGAAGGGGGCCTAAGGGTAAGAAATCTTAGGCTAAGAAACATAGCATTATTGGGGAAATGGTTATGGTGATTAACATTGGAACAGGACAGACTTTGGCATAGAGTGTTTATTAGCATTCATGGATTGGCAAACAATGGGTGGGATGTAGGAGTTGACCCCAGGGCTTCCCGATGCTCTCCCTGGAAAGCTATTCTTGGTATTTTACCTTCATTCCTTCCTTACGTCAAATTTGATGCTTGTGCAGGAAATAAAGTGTTAGTCTTGGAAAATGTTTGGGTTGGAGACATTCCCCTTGATGAAAGGTTCCCTTCTATTTATTCACTATCAGAAAAAAAAAAAAAAAAAAAGTGATATCTTCAGTTTTTACTAATAACTCTTGGGACTTGGGTTTGAGGAGAGGTCCAAGGGAGTCAGAAATGACAATGGTGGATGAATTAATTAACCTTCTAGGGTCAACCTACCTGGATCAATCTTGTTTGGACAGTAGAATTTGGAAACCTTCCCCACCTGGCGTGTTCACTTGTTCCTCCTTCTTTGATGTACTCATTCAATCATCAAACCCTACAAGGAGATTTCCTTCTAAGGAGATTTTGTGTCAGCTTGTACCCCCAAAAATTCGAGCTTTTTGTTGTGAGGTGTTCTCCAAAAAATCAATACTCTAAATATGTTGCAAAGAAAAAGGCCGAATGTATGCCTATCACCCCATGTTTGTAGCCTCTGTTTGGGCTCTAGTGAGACGATCACACACCTATTAATTTCTTGTCCATTTGTGTGCTTTTTTGGGCCTGGTTCTCTTCTATCTTTGGTTGCAGGTGGACACCTCCCCCAGATATGGCAAGCCTTTTTGACCCAAGCCTTTTCAGACAACCGAAGAGACGTGGAAGATTAATGTGGAGAGCCACAAGAGTAGCTATCTTATGGTCAGTTTGGGAAGAAAGGAACAATAGAATATTTAAAGGAGTGGAGAAATCCAAGAAGGAAGTTGTAGAAAGGATAATCATTATGACTATTCAATGGTTGAAAACTTTGGATCTGTTTGAAGACTTCTTAGCTGAAGATATTTACAGGATTTGGGAAGGGGTGGCATCTACAACTTCCATAAAACCTATTATACAGGAATTGTGGTCCCCACCAATACAACACAAAGTGAAATTGAACTTTGACGAGAGTTCTAGAGGTAATCCGGGCCCTTCAGGTATAGGAGTATTCAGAGATGAAAATGGCAGAATTGTGGCTATGTTTTCAGGACCAATAGAAGTGGGGGACTCATTGAGAGGGAAGGTGATGGCCTTGCTTCAAGGTGTAAGATATGCAAAACAATTGGGGTTACACCAAATTGAGATAGAGGGAGACTCTAAATTGTTGATTGAGTGGCTGCAATCTGGAAAGTTGGGAGCCTGGATTTATAGACAGCCCATAAGGGAAATGCTCAACACAACAAGGGAGATCGGTGCATGCTTCAAATGGACAAGGAGATCAGCTAATGGTTTAGCTAACACGTTGGCTAAACAAGGGACTGTGAGGGAGAGAATGTTTTGGGCAGTTTTGTAAGAAAGATTACTGAGGCTCAACACCTGTTTTAGGAGTTGACAGCTGTACTTAATTCTGGAAAGTTATTCTTAATTTGTATTAATGAAGTTACCGTTTCCAATAAAAAAAAGTTTGACTAGTCAACCACAAAGTAATTTTACAGCTTTACTTTTTATGTTTATATGTCCAACTATTTAATGTAATATACCTTAGCTCCTCTTCTTTGTAAATTTACTACTATTTAATGAAATCTGTTGTTATCGATAAAAAAAAACTATTTGATGTAATATAGAATATGATTGCATTTTTGTTATTTCATTCTGTTGCTTTAAATATTTGCATTGACTAAAGAGGCCAAAATGGAAGGGGATTGATGGACAGATATTTTTATAGAAAAAAGAATAAAGAGCATAGGAATATTCCACAAAGAAGGCCTTTCAACAAGAAGAGAGTATTGAAGAAAAGAAGTTTAGAGAAAGAGAGAGGTAAATCATAGGGGTGATCATGGGCCGGGCCGGGCCGGGCTTTGCACTTATGATAAGGGCTATAGCTTAGGCCCGGGCCCGGCCCGGCCCGGGGTTCTGGGCCTGAAACATAAGCCCTAGCCCAGGTCTACACGGGCCCGGGCCTGATTCTAGGACAATGTCTTTCATATATATGAAGCATTACATATCTATAATATTTTATATTAAATGACATAACATGCATATAAACTTATTTTATACATTATATAATATAAAATATTATATATCTATATATTAAATGACATAACATGCATATAAACTTATTTTATACATTATATAATATAAAATATACATACAATATAAATTATACATGTCATGTTATAATATTTATAATATAAAATATATAATATAATGTAAAATAACTTGTATACATATGTATACATTATACACAAAATGTGTACGTTTAAATATGTGGGTCGGGCTGGGCCCGGGCTGGATTTGAAGTATTAAGCCCAAGCCCGGCCCTAAAATTTGCGAGCCTGATGTGGGCCCGGGCCTGGGCCGGGCTTGAACACAAAACCCAGGCCCAAGCCCGAAAATTCCGGGCCGGGCTGAAATGATCACCCCTAGTAATCCATGTATCAACTTGGAACCATAGAATCAAAGCTTCATTAATTTGTCTTTAATAGAATGAATAAGACCTCGATCGCGTCTCGACAAGTCATTTACTCGGATAAGTGCACTTACCAATGTTCTTTTATTCCACAAGTAAAGTTGTGCAATGACCATTTTATCCAAAAAGTGACATTATTGAAGGGGCAGTATTGTCCCATCACGTATTAGCAATTTTCTGTGTGGATGGGTAAGTGATTTACGCAAGTTTCAGGAGGATATTACTTGCCCAGGTAAATGAGCTGCTCAGGAATCATTCTTTTCCATGGGGCCCACTAATATCAAAATACAAACATGGGTTTATTTCTTTTCCATGGGACCCACCAACTTACATGCCCCCACTTCCTGGAAAATGAAACAAGACTTTTGATTTCCCAATATCTAGGGGTGCTCACAGTTCGGTTAACCGAACCGTGGGCCTTTTCTTGTAACCGAACCTGTACTACCGGTTTTTGGAAAACTGGTAACCAAAACCGAATCGAAGGCAATTGGTTAACCAATTGACTAATTCAGCTAACCGTTGGTTCGGTTCATTGGTTTTTCGGTTTTCTAATTTTTACAATATATATTATAAAAATATAATAAAAAATTATAAATATAAATATATACAAAACATTATATTTTAAATAATAAATAATATATGATATATTATAAATATATATTTTATATATAATGCATATTTATTAATTTATAATATATAATATACATAAATATATATAATATAAAGAAATATATGTATACCGGTCAGTTCAGTTAACTGCCAGTTTCCTATATTGGTTAACCGAAACCGAATCGGTACCTTTGGTTTTTTAAAAACACTGAACTGATCGGTTTGGTTAACCAATTTTTCAGTTTGGTTTCGGTCGGTTCGGTTTTTCGGTTTTTCGGTTTTTCGGTTTTTTTTGCTCACCCCTACCAATATCCTTTAGCAAACCCAATATCCATCCCAAATCCTTGATTTCAAATTTTGTAGCCAAAAATTGTTTCAACATGACTATCTCGGATGTGTTATTCATCAACATACACAATGCTTCGCTTGTACATCTCCACATAAACGTTCTCATTTTTTCTTTGGTAATGAGAAAAGTGATGGCTTAAGAGATCTACATTAGTAAGGGGTAGGGTGATCATTCCTAGTCCAGCTTGGAAGATTAACCTGACCTGGCTCACAAATTTCCAGACCTGGCTCACTTTTCTCTTATATATTCCATCTCCTTATACAAGAACGAACCTACATCCGGTTTTATGGCGGTATAAATTTCCTGGCTCACAAATATACCTCCATAAAACCGGATGTAGGTTCATTCTTGTATAAGGAGATGGAATATATAAGAGAAAAGTGATCTTTCAAGGGTTTGTCCCCCCACCAAAAGTTTAATTTTAATGCTAGCACAAACATCATAATGAATGTATAGTAGAAAAACTAGAAGCAAACACAATATGGCTTTCCAACAAGAGGCTAAGGAGACTCTTGCAGCCAAACAAGCATCACAACCATTGTCCATCAAGCCATGTCATGTACGCTTACAATTACATTGTGCCATAGCTTATCTAAGTGCCTCACATATCTCCATAGTCACTTGACCAGCAAAGCAAAGTTCCTTTCCACCAACCTATCTAATCCTAACCCTTGCTCTTTCTTACTCTTGCCATGACTCAATTGTTGCAGTGGTCTTTTTTGGTTTTCCCCTGGTTTCCATTCGTCCCTCATCATCTTTTCTAACCTTTCTCTGACTAATAGTTAGGTTTGCTATGACGGATTATCAGAGTTATGCAACCTCCCAAGGAAATTTGGATTTTCTTCCAAACAGCTAGCCTCTTAGGTGAATGATCCTTGTGACAAGAGAGAGGATTCATAGAACATAGAACATAGCTTACAGCCTCATGGAAAAAATAATTATGACCTAGTAGCAAGGGAATAAACACATCTAGCATAACCCTAACATTATCTGTATGCATTTCTAAAAGGATGGGACAAGTAAAACCTCTGCTTTTGAAAGTGTTTAAAACGAGGGGGAAGAAAAGAAGATTAGGATTGTTAGCCATCTTAAAAGAAAGTACCATTTCTGGCAATGTTAGAAATATGGAGGTTACATTGCAAGTAATCTTTAGTCACACCATCCACATGAATTCTTATGGAAAACAATATATCACAAGTCTAGCATTAGAAATCATATAAACTCCAAGTAAAAATAGATTCCCTGTACACTATCTTTTGAATAACCAAATTACAAAATATAAGCCAAAAAAGAATAAAGTGAACATACTAGAAACAGAAGAAAGAATTTGTAGTTTTGTGCCCCAACGCAATTGACAACCCATACGCAATGGTGATCCATCTTAAGGACACATCTCTGGCCTACAAGAAACACAATGCATGTAAAAGAGTTACTCCATCAAGTAGACTTAAAATCTAGGACTCAAACAGAATGGATCGAATGGATATACCTAAATTCAAAATTGATTCATTAAAATCCAGATTCAAATCGATTCTTATCCATTGGATTATATTGGATTGCAATCAGATATTGAATAGCATAAATAAATTAAACTTTGTTTTTATAAATGAATAGAATTTTATTAATGATCAAAGATATAGTGAAGGCAAAACATATATATTATTGATAAACCTTAAATGATCAAAATATTATATATTATTGATAAAATGAACTAAAAATTACTTTTATTTTGTATATCATGATCATTTCATAGTTTGGTACTTTTGTGATCTCTATCTTCAAAAAGCCATACTTTAAGTTGGCAAACATATCTCAGTAGCCACTCCAGTTAATATTTCGGAGAAAATAGATAGGTAAAACACATTCCTCCAAACATGGATTTATCATTTTATAGTTATGATTACTAACTGACAAAATATAGAAATCAAAGAAAAATACTTAACTATTAGCTAAACAGAAAAAGACAAAGCAGGATAAGCTTACAAACAGAACAATGATGGCAGCGTGGAGGCTTGCTATTCTGGCAGCGACTACAGTATCCAACAGCTTGCCTTCCCCCCTCCGATGGAGATGCTGTGGAGTTTCTAGATTCTGGATCAACATATCCTGATAATGCCATAGAACTAGTTTCCATGTTCTCTTCCTGCATCACAGGTCTCCAATTTTCTGGAACAGAACCAGGATCCTGAAAGACTACCATAAGGTAGCTCCAAGTTAACAGTATAAGCTGCAATGACAAAGGTAAAAGAAATGCAGAATATGAGAAGAGATCTAACATAGAGAAATTAACCAAACCCAAGAGGAGATAAAGGAAAATTCTTGATCCCCAAGTATGAGCTTGAAAGAATGGGTCAGCATCATATTTAAATGGTTTACTGGAAGGATATACTAGCAGCTAACCTAACACAACCTTTTTCCTTTGCCTGGGCTTGAGATGGCAATTCAAAATAAAGGATTCATAGGATCTCTTTCCCGGGTTTGCGCATCCAAATATTCTAGAAGTCAACCACTCAAGGAACCAACGCAACTAGACACACCTAACAAAGAAAAGATCTTTGCAGGCATACAAAGATTGGTACAATTGTCTATAAATAAAGATGAATAGAGGATTTACTCAGAATGAGTCTGGCAATGCACTGACCCTATGATATGATAAGACATGCCTTCTGATTGCACGACTTGGTCTAGATGAAACAGTGGAGAAAATAATCATTCTCCAAATTTCCATGACAAGAAAATTTATAATGGAAAAACTGAGTAAAAGTTTATGATGGATATCATTCAATTAGGTACATACTCCAGGAGGAATTTTATGCCTAAATTGGTAACACGGAGTAGCCAACACTTGTTAAGCCCGGTACAAATGCAATTTACTCGCATGAAAGACATCAGTTCCATTTGGTACCGTATGATCTAAGTTCGGTTGCAGTGAAATGAGTTTATTTTTTTTTTCTTTTTTTTAATTGAGCTCTAACGTACATGAACTAAAAGACTGAAGGGGGGAGATGGTTTATAGAAGAAAAACAAAGAAGGAAAGTGTAACATAAAATTACCAGAAGATGAAATGTGGTGACTATGGAAATAGAGAGAACCGATCGAAGGCCACCATGAAGCAACTGAGGCCCCCAAATGAGGACAACGACTGCATAATACGACACAGCGATTATCGCTGCGACAAGGAGGATCATGAAATAACCGAGAACTCTAAGGCCAGAGCAGTACTTGAACGGATTCAAAGCCATTCCAGAATTACTTCCTCGATTGAACCTGATGTAAGGGGCAACCCCAACAGGCCTTCGGCTTCGTGGCGGAAATAACCGTTTCCAGATATCCGAAGCCAGGTTTAACAGAACCCACAGACCACGATCTCTTCTTAGGATTATGATAATTGAACAAATAATGTCAAACTTTGTTCGACCGGATGGAACAAGAAATAGAGAAAGCGGTTGCTTCTTACTGCTTGGAGCTGAATTTGAAAAAAAATTAGGGCATAACGATTTGCCTCATTACCTCGACCATGGAAACTCATGGAAACGTTTATTTGATTCTCGCTTAAAAAAAGAAGGGTAAAAGAAAAAGAAAGGCGTTTACTCGATAACTCACCTGAACTCGGTCGGATCACTATTCACTAACGGAATTCACTTCTTGACTTGTGTGGACCAAACTATAGACAGCAACTCAGCAAGGTTTTTAAAACCGGACCGGACAGGGAACCATTCTGGGTCCGGTTCCCGGGTCGAATGGTCCGACTATCCGGTCTGAATGGGTGGCCTGCTTTGACAAAAAAATAAAAAATAAAAACAAAAACAAAAATCATTGTCCAGGTCAATGGTTTGATGGTTTGACCACTCGGCCAGTGGTTCATTGACCAAACCAACAGTTTTGGCCAAAAAGTGGTTTTGGTGTGAAACGGGTAGGTGACCAATTCCTGTTTTTTCCAGTCTGACCATCCGGTCCAGTTTTGAAAACACTGATAGGCAGAATTAAGGGTGTTCATTGTAGGGTTCAAACCGTAAAATCAAACTGAACCAAACCGTAAATTGTATTAATATAATATTATATATTATATACATATATATCAAGTATTTTAGAATTTAAATTATAAATATATAATAAAATTATGGGAAAATTCCAGATAGGTACCCTGTACTTTAGGGCGAGTGCCAATTTAGTACCCAAACTTTATAATGCGACAATCTAGTACCTGAACTTTCGAAATGCAACAATTTAGTACCTACCGTTAATGGACTGTTAGTTATGTATATCACATGACCTCATGTGCGATTTAATATTTTTAAAATGTCAAAATTACCCTTAAAATAAAATACATTGTTCATTATCTTCTTTCTCACAAAAATAAAACAGTTCTCAAGCTCTCAAAAGTCCAGACAAAAATCGAAGCGTCTGCTTGTCGCTCACTATCCTCTGCCCGAACTGTAAACCGCCGGCACGGAATGAAGAAATGATGGCCATTAGAGATAGACATTAAGGTTCTGAACTGGAAGCACGTCGAGGAATTGGTATATAGAGATCTCGATGGGAGAGCAGGTGGTGCCTTTCTGCATAGATGATGAAGGCTTGAAGAACAAAAGGTGACCTTTGGTGTGGTGGCCATTGTCTATCAAACTCCCACCTCTGTATCGCAACACAACAAATTCTTCCCTTGTTATAGATTTTGGAATATCTTATTTGTTGGCATCGACTCCATTATCATCACAGTAAACGCCAACTTCTGGGTCAGCAGAGGGAAATGGTTCTGGTGGGTCATCTAGATTTTGCTTGAGGTTGAATGAGCTAAAACACAGATATATGACGATACCTAAGGGCGGAGCCAGGAAATTTTTATAAGGGGGGCCAAAACCTAAATGAAATATAGATGGACCCATAGGGGGGGCCAACCATTGAGGTGGATAGTGGGGGGAGGGGAAGTTTTACATAAAAACTTGTATTACTATGAAGATTTTCTTAACCATAGGGGGGGGGGGGCATGGCTCCCTTGGGTCCCCCCTAACGATACCGTACGTCATTAGTATGATTTTTGGGTTGTGATTGACTGTACAGATTAATAAGTATATCTGCAGCAAAATAATGTGAACCTACTGAGAGTAAGTGGTTGCACATGATGCCAAGAGTAACCATGATTGATTGACTCAATAAAGTTGTAACTTGTCCCCTTTCTCATTTCACTTGTTTCCTTGTATTCTCTAATTTTCATGGGCATCTCTATATCACCAATTTTAGAATAGAAGCTTGATGCTTGCAACAACACTGCAGGATTGTCTGGGTCGAGCTCCAGCAAAGCTATTGCATCTCTTCTTCCTACTTTCTCATTTCGGTGTACTATACAACTACGTAATAGGGAGCCCTACATTACCGAATCACCCTTAACTGGTGAGCATTTTAGCAACGATTCTGCTTCCTCTAACAAGCCTCTTATCTAGGTAAACAGCATGGATGGTTTCCATTGATTCAAATATTAATTGCCCTTCTCCCACCAAACCTGAGTGACTGCAACCCATTAACACAGACAAGAATGTTACAACATCTGGCATCAGGCCCTCCTGGATCATGGTCTCAAGCATCTTGAGGCCTTCTCTACCCATTCTATGTCAAGCACAGGCATATATCAAATAGCAGAAAGTAACACCATTTGGATCAACCCCAACATTTGATTTCATCTTCAAGTAGAATCCTAGCACCTCATATGATCAACCTAATTGACAGAACCCACGAAGAACCAAATTCCATGTTGTTAAACTTCTACCAAGCAATTCATTGAACAACCACATAGCAGGGTTAAGATAAGAAGCTTGTAGGTACAGATCAATCAATGCGAACCCAACAAACAAGTTTGCATTGAACCCAAGCAAAACCACTCTGCAATGAACTTGAAGGCCTTCTTAGTAGAACCTAGCATCACTGCAAAATGCCCAAACCTGAAGAACATGTGGACGGGCTTTCTCTAATGCCTTTAGAAACCATTTCTTAGAAGAGATCAAGGGCCATCTCTGGAAACCCATGGCGAGCGTGACCGACTATTACCAAGTTCTAGGAGACAATGTCACGGACGGGCATTGCTTCAAATATCTCAACGGCTGAATCAAGACGGCCACATTTGATCAAGTTATCGATCATTTGGTTGCAGGAGAACACACCCACGTGATAACTTCCATCCAGCTCCAGTAAAGCAGAAGAGAAAGAAGCTCGGGTTGTTGCTTTTGGTATAACAACGACGACAATCGATCAAGCAAAGCTTAATAGACTTCTTGTTTGCAATCGCATTGCTTGCAATTGTAAGCGCCTTTGGTTTTGATTTTAGTAGATAGGTTGATAAAGAAAATTAGATTATATTTCAAGGGTATTTGTGTCTTTTCATGTGCCATTTAACGATTGATTAATGGCAAGTACCAGATTGTCACGTTTTAAAAGTTTGGGTACTAGATTGTTGCATTTTAAAGTTCAAGTATTAAATTGGCACTTGACCTAAAGTACAGGGTACCTATCGGGAATTTTCCCTAAAATAATTTATATTATAAAAATAAAAAGAGTAAAGAGTAAATAAAAAACTAACTTTCCACCCCAAAAAATATACAAAATTAACGACTTGTGCAAATTTCTTAAAGTATCTCTAAGGTTTAGGAAATTGACCAACTCTACCCTTATAATTTCATATTGTCTTAAAGTACCCCCAAGTTTTTTAACAATTGTCATCATAGTTAAATATTGACATAAAAAAGCAAAACATCAAATTTACCCTCCACTATTTTTCAAATTTTCAAAATAAAACCGAACTAATTAGAAAGTGATAAACGATAAATCTCCAACATATACGCCCTCCCCTACTTGAGCATGCTAGCCCTAGGCCTCCCCTTCTGCTAAACAACATTGTTGTTCCTACTGAAGTTGTACAAATCATGGGGCTCATCACAGTAAGTATTCAAATCAATTTAAATGGACTAACGAAGGGGCCCCTGATCCGCAGGGGTTGGAATGGAATTGTAACATTGCTATTTGCTACATTAAAAAGAGATGATGATTTCTTAATAAGAAACTTGCAATTATATGTACTCATGTCTTAAAACTCATATAAAGACTTAAAAGAGATCATCATGTGCTTGTTTTTTAAATATTGCTTCAACAAAGCATCTCATATAAAAGAACACAATTGTACAGTGATAGTTCTAAGTTCTACTTCATAGTTGTCCTTTGTTTCACATCGAGAACTCATAGTTGACTGAGATAGTAGGACCATTCAGCCCAGGAACCATCCAAGCAATCGGTTCCATTTTACTCCAAACCCAGTACTTGGCCAAAAATCATTGAAACAGTCAACGACCCGTTGATTCGGGCGGTCGAACCATTGACCCGTCGACCCGTTCAACGGTTTTTGGCCATTTTTTATTTTTTTAATTTTTGTTGTCAGAACAGGCCATTCGTTTGAATCGAACGGTCGAACTATCAACCTAGAAACCGGTGGTCAGAACAATTCTGTTTTCCGAGTTGATTTTTCTAGATGTATATAATTAAATGAAATAACTTTGTAGTCATAGTCATGGGAAGGGTGGACATTGCAAGGGATTCCAAAACCTTGAAAGATAAATCCAAAGTAACCTTAAACAGAGAAAAAAATTGGTGGTAAATCCATCAAATTGGAAAAACCAAGGAAAAAAAATAAAAAAATCGAGTCCAAAGTTCTGCTTTGAGACGGAGTTAAACATATATGCAATCAAAGAAAGAGGCAAAGCATATCATCTTGTAAGAAAATAAAAAAAAAAAGAAAACATTGCACAAGAAAACCCAAAGAAAAAATAAAAGGGAAGAAATAAAATGGCAGTAAAACTTAGACCGCTTTAGAGGATCTTGAAGAAGAAGACCAAACACAAAAAAGAAAAAGCAGAAAATGAAAAAAAAAGGAACATACCACACATGCTCGAATAAAGCCTACAGCAGAAGAAACCTTTGAATAGTGAAAATCCAAAAGCATAAAAAACCATGGTTTTCGAACCGTCATTGACCTAGATGGACGGACACTTCAGTCTGGTTCCATTTTACCCCAATCCCGGTCCTTGGCCAAAAACCGTTGAATCGGTCAACAACCCATTGACCCGGATGGTCAAACCATTAACCCTTTGATCCGTTCAATGGTTTTTGGCTTCTTTTTATTTTATTTTTAATTGGGAACCATCCAGACAACCGGTTCCATTTTATCCCAATTTCGGTCCCTGGCCAAAAACCATTGAATCAGTTAATGACCCATTGACCCGGGTGGTCGAACCATCGACCCGTTGACCCGTTCAATGGTTTTTGACCTTTTTTTATTTTTGTTGTTAGAACGGATCATTCGTTCAAACCGGACGGTCGAACCGTCGACCCAAAAACCAGTGACCAGAATAGTTCTATAATTTTTTGCTTGTAATTTTTGTTGTCAAAACGGGCCATCCGTTCGAACCAAATGGTCAAACAGTCAACCCAAAAACCGAGTGACATATAAGATATATAAGATTCCTTTTTGTAATTTAAAATTTTTCAATGAAAAATCTTTTATATTAAAAAAGAA